CCTATCTTTGGTCGCATCCATTGAATATCTCCTATCAATTTTTGGAAATCATTTAAAGTTTGTACCTTGTCTTGTCTAAGCTCAGAAGGTTGTAAAGAGACTTCCTCCAAGTCAAGCTGAAATCCCAGATATTGAAAGGGAGGTTCTTTTTGCACTTTCTCTGGTGCTATCTGAAGCCCTTTGTTTGTCAAAATAAATACTGTTTCTTGGAGTATTTGCTCAAGGACTTCTAAATTGGCATGACTACAAAGAATATCATCAATATAGTGCACTAAATAGGCTCCTTTATATTTGATTCTTCAAGGCTCTAGTAGGCCTGCTATATATCTTTGGCAAATAGTAGGACTATTTTTCATTCCTTGTGGTAAAACTTTCCATTGATATCTCTGAGCAGGAGCACAGTGATTTGGTGTAGGTATAGAAAATGCAAAATATTTGCAATCATCATGGTGCAAGGGAATGGAATAAAAACAATCCTGAATATCAAGGATCCACAAGGATTGATGTCTAGGGATTGTATTTGGTGAGGGTACTCCTGTTTGTAAAGGACCCATGTTTTCCATTCTTTTATTTACTCCCCTTAAATCTATTAACATTCTCCATTTTCCTGATTTTTTCTTAATGATAAACACAGGAGAATTCCATGGACTAGAGCTTTTCTCTATGTGTCCTTGCTGTAATTGCTCTTGTACTAAAGAGTGTAAAGTGGTGAGTTTCTCTTGTGTCAGGGGCCACTGATCAACCCACACTGGCTCTTTTGTAAGCCAAACTAATTTATGTGCTGTTAATGAAACATCAGTGGCCCTTATGAAAAATCCGTGCTGATTGTAACAGCCATGTCTGTAAGAACATCACATCCCCATAAAATAAGAGGTAGTCCTGCTCTGATATATGGACAGAACTTGCCACTTTTATTGTCCTTTTCCCATGTGAGGGGACGTGTAGAGATTTCTGTTTCTTGATTGCCTCCTATACCTCGTAGAAAGGTGTAAGCCAATTCCTTAGGCCACCAAGGTGGCCACTGGTCTGCAGGGAATACTGATTTATCAGCCCCAGTATCAATTAACCCTGTAAATTTCTGTTTCTCTACACTTATAGTACATAGGGGACGGTCCATAGAGACAGCTTGTGTAAAAAATGCTCCTGACCTCCAGCCTGTCTGTGGGCCTTTTATTATGGTAGGATCTTCTATGTGGAATTCTGCAGTGATGGCGATGGCTTGAGCCACGCACTGTCCCCTTTCAATATAGGTATCATCATTGTTAGTGTTAATCATGGTGAGGTGAGGGAGGGAGCCTTTATACATTTGAATAACTGGAACTGCATGTGAGCAGTGCTGATCTGGGGGTGATATGGTAATTAAGGAAAATTCTGGCCCCAATTCCTGTTGGTCCATGAGTGGGACGTTACAGACAGCATGGGGTGGCAGTGTAAAATTATCTAAGCTTCTCAGTTTCAATACTCGAATTGTTTTTCTTGGGCAGCTAGAGTCATGTACTTCTTTCCCCATTCGTTTGTGAGAGGGTTTGATTCCTGTACTGTCATTCCCATGGGACGAGTATTCTGGGCTCCCGCAGAGCCCCTGCGCCCGTCTCCTAACTTGCATTCAGAAGCCCAATGCCCTAGCTTCTTGCATTTTGGACAGGGTGTGGCAGGGCGTCTTTTGTTTGACTTGCAGTCTTTCTTAAAGTGCCCTTCTCTCCCACATTGATAGCATGTTTTCCCTGTTTTTTCCCCTGACTTATGCTCTGCTAAAAATTGATTCATCAACTCAAAGTGAAAACACTGAGTCCCTACCTTTTCACATCTCCTTATCATTTCCTGTAAGGTAGTGTCCCTAGGCAAACCTAGCATGGCTTTCTTACAGTCTTCATTGCAGTTTTCTCTAAGTAGTGATTTTATGACTATTTTGGTCCCTTCTACTTCTCCCATTGTTCGTGCAACTAGTTCCTGAATTCTAGCCACAAAATCAACAAAAGTCTCAGTAGGTTTCTGCTGGGCAGCAGTCATAGATTCCTTTGCCTGCCCCTTTTCTGGTATCCTAGACCAAGCTTTTCTAGCTTGTACTGCAATTCTATGATAGCCCTCCTCAGCATATCCTAGCTGTTGGGCAGTGGTAGCAAAATCCCCTGTGCCACTCATCTGTTCGAAGAGTGCTTTTCCTTGGGGTCCAGGTGCCAATTGGTATGAAACCATATGACACTGATCTACAAATTCAGCCATCCAAAAGACAGCAGCTCCGGGCGTCAGAACTGCACGGGCTATTGCTTTCCAATCATTTGGACACAAAATAGAGTTAGAGATAACCTCTAACTGATACATTACAAAAGGTGAAGTAGGTCCATATTGGGCAACTGCTTGTTTTAGTTGCAGCAAGGTTTTAAAAGGAATACTTTCGTGCCTCCTCAGTACCTGTCCTGGCTTAAAAGGATCAGGTTCTTCAATGACCGGATAGAGGCCAATATCCCATTCACTAACATCCTCACCCTTTTCTTTTGCTTCTCTAATGCCCTTTTGTAATGGTGATTCTTCACCACTGGAAGTTGTTGTGTGCTCGCCAAGGTGGCCACACCCACTTCCCAAAGTTTGTGGCGCAGCAAAAAATTCCTTACTATCCCACTCCCGCAATCTCCGTTTCTCGGGAGGGGTAACTACCAGATTTCTTAAAGTGTCTTCCAACTCCCCCAAGTTGGGATACAAGTTTGAATAGTGTGCTGGGGTGGCCAGGGAGGGAGGTCTGTGGGACCTTCTCTTAGTTTAGGAGAGCAAGGTCTACTTGCAGAGGGAGAGGGGAGGGAGGAACCTGTCTGAGTACAGACTGGAAAATTCTGGTCTTCTGTTTGCTTTTGATTCATCAGAGCTTGTTTTGCAAGATTGTAGATGGTATAGTCTAAAAGCCTAACTTTTCCAGGGCAAGTAGCATCATACGAGGTCAGCTGCTCCCCAAAAATCTTCCATCTCCCTGGCTCAAAGCAACCCTGTTATGGGAGCCAGGGGGATACCTGAAAAGCCAACCTCACAATTTTCGAAGATCTTTTAGGTGTATAGTTATTCCCTCATTCTTCACTACCTTATATAAAGCTCTGGCGTAATTCTCCTCATCTGTGGAAAGGAGAATCCCTATATTTTGCCCCATTACGTAAAATGAAACCTTTACCTTCTCCAACCCCCAAGGACGGGAAACATCTCGGAGACCCAATTCCGTTGGGCTGAAAGCTCGAAGCTTGCTGACGCGCTATTCATGGAGTTTTTAGACTCGTGGGGTATTTGTCAGGTCTGTCATCGATCTGCCCCACGTTGGGTGCCAGTTGTCATGGCCGCTGCAGTGGTGAGCATGAGACCAGCTCAGTGCCCAGTAACCCGGAGACACATGGATGAGGTGGGAGACAGCAAGGTGGCAGAAGCTCCATTTATTGAGTGCAGGTAGCTGTCTTTTATAGCCCTAGTGATGCATGTTCAAAGCGTGATCCCCCTGTGATAGCCAATCATCAGGTCTGCTGGAGCTCATGTCAGGACTCATCTCCCATTGAGAGGAGAGCCAAACCAACTGTGGGAGCTGCATGTCAGCAAAGGAGAGGTCCTGGGAGACTTCCTTATTTTTGCCACGCAACTATGTTGTGACCCTCAGCTTCTACTGATAGAAGTTAGAACTCCCATGGGAAAGTTCCCTCAACAGAGCTCTCATGAGACATTCACTGTAACATGTTAGTACCAAGGAAGGGGTAGACTAGATGGGTCACTATACTTTGGTGTAATGAAAGAACCATTGGGTAGATGAGTGCTGTATAACCATTAATAACTATTATGGAAAAATAAAGATATCAATAGCCTATACAGACAAAAATCCATCAGTTGAGGTGCCTAGGTGAATTCCCACAACCTGACAAGACCTCTTCCTCCTGCTGGTCTAAAATTCCTCCCCACCTCTCCCTGATTCTTCAACATATTTGGGACCCAATGTACTGGATTAATCATTTATTAGACATTTGCAGGAATGGTTTCACCCATGAGTCCTACATGTGAGGAGGTAGAGCAGGGAGGGGACAGAATTCCGCAGCATGTTGGAGGAAAGAAGAGAAAGCCAGCAGAAAATTTCATAGTCTTCATTGACATTTCTTTGGAGGAACTAGGAACAGTTCCCAGAAACACAAGGATGTTTCATCCTAGGAATTCCTGTGAGACAGTGAAAGGATCCTGATTACTCAATATCACAAAGTGACTTAAAAACTGAGAGTGAGGGGTAGAGCTTGGAATAAAGGTGAAAAATTCACCTCCTGAAGGTAATTTTGACTCCTGAGAAGGTAGCTAGGAAAAAAAAAAGACTTTAGTAAATGTAATGATATTATTTGAGGTGAGAGGGGGGCCCACTAAGAATGGAATTTGATGAGAAGAATAAAAAGCAGCAGGATAAAAATTCCATTTTCCTATAATCTTCAGTTTAGGAAACAAGAAGACACATCTTCTTGAATCAGATGGATTCATAGAATGGATTAAATTCAATGGATTACAAATCCAGATTGTCACTTTAATCCTCATTCCAGAACCTCACCTATATCCTTATCCCATTTCCTAATCCTGATACCCCTCCACATCCTTATGCCAATTCCTCAGCTTGAACCCTTCCTTCCCCTTTGACACCTTCCCTCCAAGCACCATCTGTCTGACTATTCCACATCCTCATATTAATCTCTTTTACATCAACTTTTGGAAGATAGAGAAAAAGGGAAGGGAAAGAATTAAAATAGCCCATGGGAGAAAGGGAATGAGAATCACCCTCTACCTTAAGTACTACTCCATGTTAAGTACTTGCTTTACCAGAAAATGTCAGGATGACCAAGGAAAGATCAAGCACTGCCAAAGACTCTAATAGTACCTGGAAACTGGGAAGGTCTCCCCAAGTTGATCTATATCTATCCCATTTTATGCAACTGAGCACCCTGCTCTGGATTTCTAAAGAAATGTTACTCTCAGGCAATAATTCTGTGGTGAAAGATAACAGACCTGCATGCCAGGATGAGGTTCCTTACCTAAGTTTCTCACATCGATCTGTGGAGACAAAGTAATATATCCATGATTCTCAGACATGAATCCTTCTCAGAGCTTTTGTCATTATCCCAGAGGAAAGGGAAATTAGATTGTCTGGATGAGGACAAGGGGAGTCAAGCTAGGAGTGTTTTCATTCTATGAAATTCTCTCCTCTCGGTCACAAAGGGAAATTGCGGAATAAGACAGAGATGAGCAGAGCTTACCATCATTGGACAGGTCTCTAATTTGATCCTTCCTAATTCCAAATCTTTCACACATTTCCTCAAATTTCTGCTTTATTTCATCTGGCAGGTCTGGAGTCCTACCTGTAGTTAGGGTGAGAGTGAGATTGTTACTGAGTCTCTCTCACTCATCATTTGTAAAAATATATGGAGAAGGGTGTGTCTAGATAAATGTGGGGGTTAAGGATCGTGGGAAGGTTACCTATACCCTTGATCTCAGTGACTAAATTGGTAACTTTGGGGATTGGAACTATCATATGCCCTAGGATTTGATGTGACAAGTAATAAAGGAGGAAAGAAGGTTTCTTGCTGATTATCAGTAAGTCAATCTGCATTTATTAAGCTCTTGCTATGTGACAAGTACTACATGAGGCTTAAGTGATGCAAGGACAAAGGAGAGCTAGCCAGAGCTTTCTCTCAAGGAATTTACAATCTATGGGAAAGAAACAACATCTTCACAGATAAGTTAATACAAGTGTGAACTCCTATTGTTACAAAGCTCAAACATTTATTACACAAGAAACATTAAAGATAATTACAAAGTAAAATTTTATGTGGGGGGAAACTATGTGGTGGAAGGCATTTTGAGGGATATGGCACTTCAGATGAGCCATGAAGGGAGCTAGGGAATCCAGGGTATAGAGTTAAGGTGATAGAGCAACCCAGCATGAGGGACCAAAAGTCATCTCAGAGATTGAAAAAGACCAGGATCCATGAGAAGCAAATCTGGGACACTAGGGCCATATGATAGAACAACAAAGAGAAACAGAGGACAAGGTTTCATTGCTGAAACTATTTGGACTGGTGATCATTCATCTCCCTTCTCTGAGATCTGCCCTTTTTGCTTACCTATTTTTAAAATCTGATTTTAGGATAAACATAATTAATCATCCCAATACCAACCTATATTTGTCATTCAGTGAGTCCAAGATGAAAATTACAATAATGGAGTACCCATGAGGCAAAAGAAGTGGATTTAATAGTTCAATATTAGGCCAGAGGCCTCCCTGCTCCCATTTTTTTTAACTTAATAAAGACTTGGGTTGAACAAAAGAGAGTAATTATTTCATATTACCATCTTCCCGAGCAGAGAGAAAGATTTACACTTGGACCTCTCTCTCTCTCTCTCTCTAACCACCTTTTTTGTGCCAAACACTATTCTAGGTGACAATATGAAGACAAAAAATAATGGACTTAGCTTACAAAAATTCTACTGAAGGAAGCTCAGCTTGGACAGTATTTTGTCCTTGGAAGCCTTTCTCCTAATCTTAGTCATTGTACATAGCAGTCAAACACAGTTTGGGGCATGCCCAATGCTAAAATGCTACAGGTTCTTTTTCCTTTATTGCTCTTCACTTCTCATGAAAAAAGGAAGGGGGAGAGCTTTAGTGCAGCATCAGAGGATACTTACCATAGAGTACTGCCCAAATGATCATTTTCCCATTGTGGACATTATGCAAGATATACATAGCATGTTTAGAATTGCTACTTTGAAGGGAGAAATCATTCAGTCCATCATCTGTGAAGCATTCAAAAGGTCAGGTCAGAATTTTGATACTACAGGAAAAAAGGCAAAGACTTAAGACTTATTGGTAATTGAACATCATGAAAAGGCTTCAATTCCATCATAACCTTTGACATGCTGACCGAACTGCTATTCTGTTGAAAAACCTATATTTTTTGTCAAAATTCCTACTATCTGCTTCTAGAGTCACTGAATGTTAGAAGTGGAGGGAATTTTGGAGGTCAACTAATCCAATCACCTCACTTGACTGATGAGGAAACTGAGGCCAAGAGAGGGTAAAAAGCTTGTTCCAGGTTATACAATGAGTTAGTTTCCATTTCAATCACTGAACAGCTAATCAGACCTCTGGAGCCCTGAAAAGAGGAAATGAGAAGATCAGAACATCTCATCTAAGATTTGGACGGCGCGATCATAAGGGAATTAAAACAGGGTAGTGGAGGGATGTCTTGAGGGACATTAACACGTCCTTCCACTACCCTAAAGGGAATTGTTTTGTATGGTCTGACCATGAGCCACTTCTTTGTTAAGCAATGGGTCCATTAATTCATTCATTTCAGAATAATACTGAAAATACTGAGATCAGCATCTCTACTTACAGTAAAAACACATTTGATCATCATCTCCTTTGAAAGCAGTCAAAGAAAATTGAATGCATTTGCCATTTTCCCTGGAAATAAAGATCAGGATTACAATGACACCTCATATTTGCACAGGAAATTTTACTGTGAAACACCCTTTTGCATTTATTTTATTAATTTTAATTTTGTCCACAAAATGTATACAATTTTTTTCATGTCTTACATTCATATTATGAATAATGCCAAATGTATAGCAATGACTAACTTCTCAGAAGTAATTAAACTGAGTTCACCATTTAAAAATTGTGGGATATTTTAAATTAAATCTGAATTCTTTGAAAATCTGGAATCTCTGGTAAGGTGGATGTGATGATATTCAGTTAAGCAAAATGCTTGATTAGACAGAAGAGCTCTCTCTTTAGTAGTTCTTCATATAAGTACTTTGGGATAATCACTAGGCTTTTCAAAAGTCAAGTGAAGATGAATGCAGTAAATCTGGGTTCAAATCCTGGCTCTTCTCCTTACTATGTGACTTGGGCAAGCAAGTCACAACTTTTTCTGAGTGTTAGAATTCTCATCTGCAAAATAGGGTTAATAATTTTCTGGTTTATCTCATAGGCTCATTGTGGAGAAAACCTATAACCTCTTTAATCTGAAATATATAAACATGAACTCCTTTTATTGTATTTTATACTCACAACATCTCAGGAGAATAGCAAATAGCAATTCTCCCTATTTAATGAATATATTTGAAATAATCTAAACTCATTAAAAAGAAGACAGAAAAGTAAGTCAGAAGAAAAGACAGGACAAGGAATAATCAGAGTTTGGTAAACCTGAAATATAAATTACCTGGAAAAGAACTTTGTATTTAACAAGAATTTCTGGAGAAATAAGAAAGTGGTCTGGCAGAAATTAGGTTTCAGACAATATGTTACACTGTAAATTTATAGTATAATTCATAGGATATAAGGTGGAATATTAATAGTCATAAAAAATTAGAAAAAGTTATGTCAAGTACCTTTCACAAGTATATCTAGGAGGACATTTTCTAGTGTATGAAATTGAAAAGCTTTTGCTTGAACAAAGGAAAATAACAAGGATAAGACAGGAAACAGCTAGGAAGAAAAAAAAACCTTTAGATTAAATACATGTAAGTGTAAGATATCTAAGATATTGGTAACTTTATAGAAATATAATGGACTCAAAGCCATTTCCTAGTAGATAAATAATTGAAGGATAGAATGACAATAATAAAAATAATAATAGCATTTACAGAACATTTATTTTGTGCCAGGTACTGTGCTGAGCAATTTACAAATATTATCTCATTTGATTGCCACAAAACCTTGTGAAATAGGTGCTATTATTATTCCCATCTTATAGATAAGGTAACTGAGGCAAACGGAGGTGAAATGACTTGACCAGAATCACACAGCTAGTAAATATCTCAGGTCAAATTTGAACTCAGGTCTTCCTGTCTCCAGACCTAGCACTCTATCCATTGAGCCACTTAAATATCTCAAATGTAAATGTAAACAAAAATTATCAGAAAAAAATTACAAACTATTAACAAACAAAAGAAAGAATGCTCTAAATCACTAATGATAAGAGAGATGCAGATTAAAACAACTCTGAGGATTTACCTCAAATCCAGCAAATTGATAATGACAGAAAATAGGAGTAGTCACTATTAGAATGGCTATGCAAAGATAGAGGAAATGTGTTATCATTGGAGCTGCAAATTTGTCTAATTGCTTTAGAAAACAATTTGAAATTATGTTAAGAAAAAGACTGAAATGTCCATACCCTTTGACCCAGAGATCCCAAGGCTAACCTCTCAAGGAGGTCAATGAACAAAAGAAAAGCCCTTTATAAAAAAAATGTTGATAGTACTTTTTGCAGTAGGAAATTCCAAGAAAGTTTATATCCATGAATTGAGGAATGGCTAAATAAGCTACAGCAAATTTCAGAATCAAGTGGGTATCTTTCTTCCCTCTCTCTCACTCTTCTTTCTATCTTCTTAGGGAAGGGACCTCAAGTATCCCCTCTTTGCTTCAAAATGGAGACTGGTGAATCAGAGAGGTTTGGAACAGAAAGAAAATAGTAGTTCCCCAGATGGTCATTAAAAAGACCCAAACTTCATAGAAAAATACTTACAATCAGTCCTACCCTCACCCCTGCACACAAGCTTCAAGTAGACATCAAGCCTATTAATTACATTTCCCTTCAGTGGTTGCCCTTGATGGCCATAAAACCAATCACATCCTAGGAACTTCATCATTAATTGATACCTTCGTCAGCCTGTATGGGTTAAGGGATCCCAGAACTGTTATCCAGGTTTTTGTCCCCTCTTCCATATCCACCAACTAATACTGGTAGTACTTACCTTTTGAAGAAGACTCCAGTGAAAACGCCACCATGTTTATTGGTGCTTTTGACAAATAGCTTTAAGCTACCTCCTTCCTCAATTTTAGCTGTCACATTTGAGGTCAATGCAACAGTGAACCGCTCTCCAAGAATCTGGGAAAGAGTTTGGATGAGAATTGAAAAAAATAGTCATCCCTGGTAGCATAGAACCATAGTATCTTAGAGTTGGGAAGGACTATCATCCAAACCCCTCATTTTACAGGTGAGGAAACTGAGGCCTCAAAGGTGAAGTATATCCTTACCCCAATCTTACCTGGTTCAATCATTGTCTTCATAGTACAATAGAAAGATCATGCCACTAAGAGTTAAGATATCTGAGTTCAAATCTTTGCTATAATACTAATTCACTCTCTGACTTTTGGCAAGCTATTTAACCTTTCAGTGTCTAGTTTTGTTCATCTGTCCAATGGGACGAATTTTAACTGTATTGTGTATTTCATGGCATTAACCCAGAGATAATATTATTTTCCCCTCCTCTTAGTGCATATCTTGGACTTAGATGTTACTGATAATTTCCGCAACAATTTGGGGAGTAAGGTGAAAGATTGCCTCAGGAAGATGAATGATCTCTACTTATGAAAAAGTTGTGTCCATTCTCTGACTCTAATCACTCATTGTCATGGAGGATTTTCTTTCCTTCTTCTCTACCTAGGTCTGAAGTAACTCCCCATGGCAGAATTCACGTGGCATCTAATCCTAGCATATGTGCAGAACCAAAGCTGTCACGCTACCATCTGAATCCCATGCTTGCTCATTTACCTTTGATGTGTCTTCTATGTTGTTTTTGAGGGCCTGGAGGCCACAGACTAAAGCCAGCCCCACAGTCAGCAGTAAGATCTTCATATTCTCAGGATTTTTCTCTGATGCTTCAGCAGCAGCTGAATGTCTGAGGATTCTGATGAATACTCTGGGCTCTCTGGACAGTTGCCTTTATACCCCATTCTTTGGTGGGGTTCCTGATGATGTGGCACTAAGGGAATCTGAATACCTCAAAGTCTAATTTATTCAGAGTCACTAGCCAATGAGTAACTGCTAGCCAAAAATCCTAAGGACAGATTAATAATGTGCTTTTTGCCAACAAAAAATTAATAATTCTGAAATGCGAATTTCCAAGATCAACAGCCCGTGTTAGGTTGGGCCGACTTCCTTGGACCAACTCTATGTCTATCCTGAGTTCAGAGAATATAGTCTCTATATTCTTTATTCTTGTGGCAGTCAGGCAATTAACACTTGCTTACAAAACACCTAAGGGATGTTGAGTCTTTTCTTAGGCAATGTCAGAAGAGTGCTCAAACAAAGAAATATCTCTCATCACTATCTGGAGCCTTTCTCTCTAGTTGTAGAAATTCAATAAACATTTATTAAGGGCCTACTGTGTGCAGAGCAAAATATAAGGCATTTGCCAAACTGAAATGTTTGGACTTGATCTCCTTTGTGGTACTTATAGTCTAGTACACAATGAAGTGTCCTAAAGACGATCTTCTTTTGGTCCTAATCCTTGAATTTAAACGGAATTCCCTTTAATGGGAATTCCCAGAAATGAAACTCCTTCTACCAGTACAGCACAATAGCTCCTTGACAATTTATCATATTAAACAGTTATCTAGGGGGTTACAGAGAGGTTAAAAGATCTGTCTGAATTCACTGTGTTAACTGGCATAGGTTTTGTGATGAAAACTAATCTAGTCATTAAGCTTATTGTCAAAAGGAGTGAACAACATTATGATGACAATGTGCCCTTTTCAGGAAAGTGCCATGCCACTATCATCAGTACATATGCTCCCTCCCTGACAAACCCAGATGAGGTCAAAAAAAAATTTATGAAGACATGGAGACCCTCATCATCAATGTGCCAAAAGAGCACAAGTTTATAATTCTGACTGACTTTAATGCCAGAGTAGGCACATGCTATTAGACATGGCAAAGTGTCTTTGGGAGGAATGGAGTCAGAAATAGCAACAGTCACTTACTACTGAAGACTTGTGGGTCTTATGACATTCTCATCACCAACACCATCTTCCATTTGCCTAAAAGCAATAAAACTTTGTGTATGTACCCTCACAGCAAACATTGTCATTTAATAGACTATATCATTGTAAGGGGAAAAAATAGATAGGATGTGAGAGTGACAAAGGTGATGTATGGCACAGAGTGCTTGGATGATCATAGATTTATCCTCTCCAAGTTAAACATTTCACATTGAACAAAAGTGTCAGCCTCGAGGCAAGATGAATATCAGAAGACTTAATGTCAGCAGATTAGAGTGCTTCTCCCAGGGGGAACAATTTATTGCTAACTTGGAGGGAAAGCTGAGCCAACACACAGTTGGCAAAAGTGGAGCAGAAAAGCAATAGGTAGATTTCAGGGTACAGTAAATGCAGTAGCATTTACTCATCTGGGCCAGAACACTTGCAACTGTCAAGATTGGTTTGACAAAAATAAGGGGGAAATTCAGAAACTGATAAATGAAAAAGGAGAACTCCACAGGTTTTGCCAACAGGATAGTTCATCTATCTATAAGAAGGCAGGTTTAACTCCATCCAAAGCAAAGTGCAAGTGAAGCTTAGAGAGATGCAGAATTCTTTGCTCAGAAAGAAGTCAGATGAAATTCAGTTTTACACTGATAGTAACAATCCAAAGTGCTTTTATGATGCCCTGAAGGTTATCTATGAGTCAAAGACCTATGGTGCATCTCAGCTACTCAGTGCTGATGGAACCACATTGATTAGTGATAAGGACATGGGCTGGAGAGATGTGGTGAACACTTCTATAATATTCTCAAGAGACCATCATCAATCAATGCTGAAGCCACTGACTGTACACCTCAGGTTGAAGTCAATCTCTCTCTGGCTGAACTTCTGACTGAAGAAGAGGTTTTGAATGCCATTAGGCTACTCTTGTGTGGCAAAGTATTTGGTTCTATTTTTATTCCAGCTGAGATTTAAAAGGCAGGGGGCCCACTGCTCACACAAAAGCTGATGAAAATTTTCCAGAGGCAAGAGGAGATTATCCCCCAGGATTTCAATGATGCCTTCCTTGTCCACCTCTACAAAGGTAGAGGGAATAGATTGTCCTGTGACAATCATAGGTGGGTCCTTCTCTTAGTCATTGCTAGCAAGATTCTTGCCAGAGTCCTCCTTAATAGGCTGATCCTTCACCTGGAGGATGATCATCTACCTGGGAGCCAGAGTGGTTTCAGAAAGGGCAGAGAACTGGTTAATATGGTGTTTGCTACCTAACAACTCCAGCAGAAATGCTAGGGGCAGAACAGAGGTCTATACACAAAATCCATTGATCTGACTAAGGCCTTTGATATTTTCACTCATGAGGGCTCGTGGAAAATTGTGGTAAAATTTGGATGGCCAGAGAATTTCATCAGTAGTGTACATCAGTTTCATTATGTACACTTGCACGGGTTCTGGATAATGGACAATACTCTCACGACTTTCCAGTCACCGCCAGAGTAAAGGAAGGCTGTGATGTTTTCAGCAATGTTGTCAGATGCCTTCAAAGAGGACAATAACAAAATTGAAGTCACTTAACACACTAATGGATGATAAATTATTTAACTTAAAAAGGCCACAAGCTAAGATTAAAGTGGAGGGAGAGAGAGTTGGTGAATGGTTTTTGGTTCACAGATGATTGTGCACTCAATGCAGCCTCTGAAGCCAAGATGCAACAAATTATGGATTGATTCTCTGCTGTTTGTGCTCATTTTGGCCTAACAACACCATGAAAACAGAAGTTCTCCTCTAGTCAGCACCTCACCATCCACATATCACACCATCAGTTACAACAAATGGAGAAATTTTTAATGCTGTGGATAAATTCACTTACCTTGGCAGTATACTTTCTAGTGATGTCCTCATAGATGATGAAGTTGACATAGGCATTCTCAGAGATGGCTCAGTGCTTTGGAGGCTCTGAAGGAAAGTGTGGGGAAGAAGAGGTATTAGACTGCCTACCAAACTGAAGGTCTACAGAGCCATTGTGCTGACCTCATTGTTATATGCCCGTGAAACATGGACAGTATACCAGCCCCATACCAGGAAACTGAATCAGTTACATTTGAATTGTCTTAGGAAGATTCTGAAGATCACCTGGCAAGATAAGGTACCCAATGTTTAGGTCCTTTTTTCAAGCTGAATTGCCAAGCATTCAAACTCTACTGAAGAGAGGGCAACCCAAATGGGCTGGCCAGGTAGCCCAAATGCCAAAAATATGTTGCCTAAAATATTATTTTATGGAGAACTCACACAAGGCAAGCACTCACTTGGAGGACAGAAGAAGAGATACAAGGACACTCTCAAGGTCTCTCTGAAAAATATTGCAATCAGTTGGAGACATGGTACAGGCCCATCCAGCATGGCATGCTCACATCAAAAAAGGACCTGTAATAGACCCAAGTATGATGTAATTCTAAAAAGTAAAGCCGTTTAGGAAAAGGTAAAAAGAGTAATTATCTTATACAAATGAGGTGTGAGAGGAAGAACTGACACAGAGGAATTAGATGGGGAGGAGGGCTGGTAATTCTGGAACCCTACTCTCATCAGGAATGGGTTAAAGAGGCAACAATACATAGATATCTAGAAGGGTATAAAAGTCTTCTAAATTCAGAAAGAATAAAAAGCTAAGGAGATGGGGAGGGGGAAGGGATTTTTAGAGGGAATCCTGGTCACACCAGATCTGTGTTAGGGAGAGAACATTATATACATTTAGAAGGGAATAAAAGTCTTCTAAATTTATACAGAAATAAGAGTGTGAGGGAATAGGAAAAGGGGGGTATAGAAGGGTGTCTAGATTAACAGGAATGGGATAAAGAGGGAATAACACATATCTGGAAGGCTGTGCAAGTCTTCTAAACTCGAATAGAAACAAGAAGGGAAGGGGAAGGGATGGAGGAAGAGGATAAAGGAGGGATCTTTGGAGGAGGGTAGATTAAGTAATAAGAGGACAAGGTAGCAGGTAGAAGTAAAGTAGAGGAGTCAGGAGGGATAGGAAATAAAAGATACACACAAACATAAAATAAAGATCAGGAATAGAATTTGTTAGGGAAAAAAGTAGTGTAGTAATCATGATCTAAGGCAAAATTAAAGCTAAAATAGATTTGACCAAAAGAGGGAAATAGGGAAATTACACTATATGTCAACCATATTAATCAATATTGTTTTAGACTATTTAAAATAACTAGACAGTATAAGGTTGGAACATTGCTGTGGTGTAGGAAATGACAAGTTGGTGGACTTAGAAAAATATGCAAAGACTGGGACTTATGAAGGAAGATGTCGTCCACCCTCAGAGAAACCGAGGACAAACAAGTAGAGCAGTCTTACATAGATGCATATGAATGTATATGTCTATATATGAGTATGAATATAGATATCTAAATATATGTACATGTATGTAAGTATATGTATGCATATTTATGCTTGTGTGTATATGTGTATATGTGTGTATATATGTGTTATATATATATAATGTATATATAAATGTATTCATGCTTAATTGTAGCCTTCTTGGGGAAGGGGTGGAGGAAAGGGGAAAAAGAGAACAAAGTAAAGAGAGCACAGCAGAGAATAAATGAAAACTTACAAGGAAGCAAAGAAAAGATGGATAGCTCTGAATACAACAAGTAGTATTTATTATATAAGCTTTCTTGAAATGGAATTTTATTGCTGTATATTTTGAATCCTCTTTTATGTTCTGCTGTGCACATGGCAATGCTTTTTTTTCTATTCTTATTTTGTATTTAAGTTTCAGTATTTAAATTTATAATATTTCTTTTCTTATTGTGTATTTAAGTTTAAAATAAATTAATTTTTAAAAAGTAGCTGTACTCTATGAGCAAAACTGAGTTGCAGTAACTCAAAAGAAACACGAAATACACACCTTTAGAAACATCTCTACTCCAAAAGTCCACATGGACTATTTGTGCCCAACCTGTGTTAGAGCGTTCCAAACTCATATTGATCTGATCAGCCATAGTCAGTCATAATGTACCTTGATCCCAACATAGTGATGTCATTTTCCTCTCCAAGAATGAAGAACAACCAAGCAGCCAATCTCTGATGTTGTCCTTACCTTTAATAGTTAGCCAGTAGATACAATTAACTCAAAGCAAAGGTATATATTAAGTTACCGCAGTAAAAATAGCAACTATAAAACATTTCGTCCCAGAGACCTGGAGTGAACTCTCCCACAAATGCAAACAGCATCACTGGGAAGAGTGGGCACATACTTATGAGACACAAGTGATGCATACATCTAGGGAACACAGGCAGCCAAGGCAACACCTGCTTTTAGTATTGCAAGTATTGCAAGACCCCAAGATCCTTTCTCTTCCTGTCATATCCTTATACAACTCACCTCAGGTTAAAACATCAATTTCTGGGCATGCCGCTCAGCTGGGCTCCCTAGGACTGCTCACCCCTGGGAGGCAGCTCAGCTATCAGTGGTCTTTCTGCCTTGAGTCCACAGTTAGCTCTTCTCCCTGCTGCCAGGGGTCATGCTTTTTAAAGCTGCTTTCTGCTTCCAGCTGTTCAATTCGACTGATTCCTTGACTTGCAGGCCTAGCTTTTCAATAGCTACCAGAGACATGACCAATCTTCGACCATTGAATGGAAAATCTGAGAGTTGGGAGGCATTTTGGTAGGCCATATTGTCCAATCTATATATATGAAATTAATTCCCACTAAAATACATTTGAAAATTAGCTATCCATGCCTGATTTGATGGCCCCTAAGGAAGGGGAATCCACCATTTCTTAAGGCAACTCACTATACTTTTGGATATCTCTTACTTTTAGGAGAGATCTCCTGACATCAAGCCAAAATTTTCCTTTTTGTGACATATAGGTTTTGTTCTCCTCCCTTTTTTTTTTTACCTCTATAACCAAATGAAATAAGTATAATCCCTTCTCCATATGAGAGCTCTTTAAATGCTATTATTTTGTCCCTGAATCATCTCTTCTCCAGGCTATACATCATCAATTCCTCCAAATGATGCTCATATGTCATTGACCCAAGTCCTTTCACAATCCTATTTGTCTTCCTCTATACATTCTCCAGTTTATCAATCTCCTACTTAATGTATGGTACTTAAAACTGAACACAGTACACCAGATGAGGTCTAAAGATGGCAGAGTTCAGTGGGTCTATCCCCTCCCTCTTCCTGGGAGCCCCAGGAATGCAATTTAGCCCCAAAATGCATTTGCTTTTTTAGCTGCTACAATTTGGTGCTGGCTCATATTGAGCTTGTAGTCCATTAAAACATCCAGATCTTTTTCAGAACAACTGTTGCATATCTATGCCTCTTCATCTTATACTTGTGAAAATGACTTTTGTACCCAAGTGTAAGGCTGTGCATTTATCCATAGAATTTTAGAACCTATCATTCATTATGCTAATTCTCCCTCCTAGCTTTGTGTCATCTACAACTTTGATGAACATAGACTATATCTCTCTCTCATAGTTGTTGATGAAAATGTTAAACATCACAAAGCCAAACGTGGATCCCTGGACTACTCCACTTGAGACCTCCTGCCATATCGACATTAAACCATTAAAAACTTCTCTTTGAGTTCAGTCATTTATTTCTGAATCATTTGGATTCTGCTGTTGTCCAATACATAACTTTCTTTTTTCTCTACAAGAATGGTATGACATTGACTTAGATTCTTAAAGTCTAAAAAAAAACTGCTCAGATTCTTACAATCTAGCCAAGAGCTCACTAACATTCAGACACCTTAAGAGTCTGCCCAATATGATGGATGTTCTGATAAACCTTGTCTTTGGCTGAAAGAAGGCTTGGGTCAAATTCTTTCAAATTCTG